AAAAAAAAAAAAAAAAAAAAAAAAAACACATCATAGTAAAATTAATACCTTCTCCGCTTCGCATCGAAGCTAAAAACACATCATAGTAAATTGAAGCTAATAAACAGATTTTTTTTTTTTTAAAAATCTAAAATATGTGTTAACAAAATTTATGAAAAAAAAAAATGAATTTTTATGGTACCTTTTTAGTGAACATTTTTTGTGCCCTCCCCCATTATAAATTTTTAAATACGCCACGATTTCTGACGATTTAATTATCTACAAAAATAAAATAATTTCATATCTAATAATTAAATAAGACTAAAATATTTGTACGTATTATCAAAAACGTATTTATCAGGATAAATTATAGTTAAAATACTGAATTAATTTGCATTTTCATATGTCTATAACAATTTTTTTTTACCTTTGAATGTCTAGGTTGATCATGTCTACAATAGAAGCACCGGTCAAAACAATATTTCCCAGAGCATAAATTAATGATAGTTGTATCATAGTTCTAAAAATATCAATATAAATTATATGTTAATTTATATACAAAATATACGTAGAAAATGTGATAAACCTACACGTTATAATTGTTAATATTTTCTGAGAAAAATGTACTAAGTTTTGAGAACAAGAATTTGTTGTTTATATTTTTCGAATGTTTTTCTGCATTTAAAATATATTCAATATTAATATTATCAAAGCATTCCTTAAAAAACTAATATAGTAACTACTATAGTTTCCGTATTCATAATTTTTCTATAATTGTTAATTGAAAATAATTTATTATTCGTGTTATGTCTTTCCCAAGAACTATGAAATCTATTATATAATTTTTTATAAATCAACTTAACAACTTACTTATATTTTCCCCAGTAAGAATCTGATAAAACAGCACCAAACAATGGCATAAAATATGACAAAAATATGAAACCATGGTAAATCATTGTAGAATCATCGTCATTATATTTTAATGCTGTTGTAAGGTATAACACTAATACCGCTGAAAATCATCAGTTTAAAATTATAACTTTACCGTTAATCTAAATAAATATGTATTATGTTGATTGATGGCAACATAAAAATTTTAAATTAACAATTGTATATAACTTGAAAAAAAATTATTAACGTACTTCTGAGACCATAGTAGTTGAATCGTTCGCATAATTCGTTGCATATTATGTACCAAACAGATTTTGGAAACTTCTACAAAATATTTTAAATGTATTATATGCTGCAACGCTAAGGTAACTATATTTGGTGCCTCTATACAAAGTTATTGGTTTATCACAAACAACTCAATTACTCTTAAAATAAATACAATATTGAAAAAAATGTTTGATTTTCTTTTAGATACATATATTTCTTGAATTATTAATACTAAGGATCATCCCTTATAACTTTATCTTTTTTAAATGGTATCAAATATATTTAATTTATTTATTAAAAAGTAAATTATCTAATTAATTAATGACGGGTCGATAACAACTTTTGTAACAGTACTTATCCCCGTAGCCCCTTATTATTAACACGGCCCTGTTATGCATGATTTGTAATTTACATAAAAATAACTAAAATTTTATTTTTAATACATAGTTAAATATTTTTTTTGTCGATTAAACTAAAATATTTGATAGGATACATAAAAAATGATACATGAAATGGCGAATTAAACCAAATCCAAATAAGTCAGTACATACAACATTTACTTTATGTCACTCCTCCTGTCCAAATGTCTCTTTAAAAGGTGTTCCTATTCCAATGTCTAACACAGTTAGATACCTAGGACTCAATTTGGATAAACGCCTTACTTGGAACGCACACATCCGTATCAAAAGACTTGATTTAAATGCCCGTCTCCACAGTCTACGTCCCTTGCTTACAAATAATAAACACTCTAAACTAAAAGTTAAAGTTCTTATGTATAAAACACTATTAAAACCAATGTGGACCTACGGTCTTCAATTGTGGGGTACTACTAAAGTATCTAATACCTTTAAAATCCAACAGTTCCAGAATATTGCCCTTAGAAAAATTACGAATGCTCTACCTTTTGTGTCCAATTATACCCTACATAAAGACCTCACAATGAAAACTGTGACAGATGAAGCTGTAGATTTCTACAAACGTTTTCATAATCGCCTACAAACCCACCAAAATCCATTGATAAAGAGCGTCTACACTCAAACCATACCGGGAAACCTCGGGCGTCGTCTAAAAAGGAACTGGTGACTTGTTATAAAAAAAAAATAACCAAATTCTAGACTCTAGATAGCGTTAATTCCCAGCTAAGTGTCACCAATGGGTGATTTCTCAATTCAAAATATTCATGCTACTATTATAATATAATACTTATGTATATTTATTGTGCTATGTTGTACAGATTGTTTATTTCAAATTGTAAATTAAAAAAAAAAAAAGGATAATAAAATACTTTTATAAACACAAATTTGTTGAAGTAACAAAAGAATATAGTTTATTTGACGATAAAAATATCTTAATTGTATATTAATTAGTATTCCTATAGTAAAATTACAGTGATGAATTGTTTTAATAAAACTTTTGTAATATACGTGAAATAAAAAATAATAATAAAGTATATTATCTACAATATAATATATTTATTATATATATAAATTTCCATAATAAAGTGTATTATATTAATTTAATTTAAGATACTTATAAAAGTGTCAGTATTTCCGGAATACTTTCAAAAATTATAGTGAAAAAGTTAATTTTTTGTGAAAAAGTTGTCATTTTAAATCCCCCTCTGTGGGCAGATAAAGGGTCAAAATTACAAAAAAATATACCAAATGATGGTAAAGACATCAAGCATCTAGAAAAAAAAATTATATTGATATCATCATTTTTGAAAAAGTTACGGCAGTTTTTAGTAAAAAAAAATTGAAAAAATTTCGAAAATTAGCGATTTTTAAATTTGTAATTTTTTTGGAGGTTTCTCCCATTTATTTTTTTTTATTATAATTAATGTTCAACTTTCTAAATTTATTTTTAAGTTTTGAATCACCTCTGTATAAATGGAATAGGTCCGATTAATGCAAAAGTATGTTGAATGAAAGATATATATAAATAATACTTATCATAAAATAATTGTATTGATCTATACAGTTTTTGAAAAGTTATGGAAATATAAAGTTAAAATTGTTAATTGTAATTAAAACTCTTTTTTTCCATGATAAAGTATATTACATTAGCTTTAATTTAAGATATATATAAAAGTGTCAGTATTTCCGGAACACTTTCAAAAATTATATTGAAAAAGTTAATTTTTTGTAGAAAATTTGTGATTTTGAATGCCTACCTGTGGGTAGATAAAGAGTTAGATTTATAAAAAATAATATATCAAATAATAGGTAAATGTCTAAGGTATCTTAAAAAAAAAAAAAATATATTGATTTGGTTATTTTAAAAAAAGTTATGGCTATTTTAAGTAAAAAAAATTAAAAAAAATATCAAAAATTAGTGATTTTCAAACTTGTAATTTTTTTGGAGATTTCCTCCATTTACGGGGAATGAGGGGAATGAGGGAAATGTTTACAATTTTTGAGGCAAATTGTCTTCGACTATATACCATTTGTGAACTTTTGACGTATCGTTGAAAGAAATCGGTTCGATGAGAGCTGAGAAAAAGTGGTATCAAACACAAAAAAAAAAAATTAAAAATAACATATCTTAGTAAAATTAATACTTTCTCAGCTTCGCATCGAAGCTAAAATAAATGTATTTTTTCTCAGTAAAAAGAAAATTTAAAGGGGCTTGGGAAGATAACTTATACCTTTATTTGGCTGGACAGAAAATGTTTTTATATTATTTTCAGCTAAATCAAATTTTTAAAAATCAGATAGCTAAAAGAATTTGTTTACTTTCACTATTGCCTGTTGTATTTTTGAAAAAAATCTATCACTTCGTAATTTTTATCATCATTAATATGCATAATTTAACAAAGTGGCTTACTTAGAAATTAGGTCATTTGATCTCATAAATAAAAATTACTTAAATGTCGTCTTAACCAATATTGTCATCAATAGGTGTTAAATAAAACTAAACAGTCATTGTGTATGCAATAATCATTACTACGAAACTAATTAGAAATTGTGTAAACTGTCTAGACAGTTACTGTTACAGTATCACAGTAATTAGTTTATTCATGTAAATTATTATTATAAATTATTTCTTTGAAAAAAAAAGTTATGCGATTTATAAATGACAAAATTCAATAATTTGATTATAAGATGAATTGTATATGGACATTATAAAGAAATTATAAAAGACCAGAAATTCTCAATACGTTATTACGTGTAAATTATTATAGTATTTATATTATTGCAAAGTAGTGAGTATAAAAATTGATGAAATATGCCACAAAAGTTATATTTTAATATTATTATATAGTTATGTTTTAATAATCAAATTTAATTATTGTATAATAATATGAACGCATCTTTCACGAAACAAAATTTTATGGATTAGACGCAAAAGAAACAGGATTCTTTGGAAGTTTGCCAATTATTTCATAATCTTTCAGTTACGTATTTACTTTTAATATTATGTAGTTCTTAAAAATATATTATTAAAAAAAAACTTTTGTGATGGCAACATAAAGAAATAGTTTTCAAGAATATGGTCATATGTATAAATGGTTAAGTGAGAAATTTCTACTTGTATGTGAGCATCCTTAGGCTCGTTATTAAGAGAAGCATAGGGCTGTCTGACCCCAACCAGAAAATATTTCACCCTAAAGAATTCAGGTCTCCTAAATAATTTCTTACAATAATGTTAAAATAAATTTTATAAAAAGCATTAATTTTTTTATTATTGGTACATCATACACTTATTAAAATTAATAATAACTTTGTTCAAAACAAAATTCACTTGTTTATTTATAAATTATTCTTGTAATTGTTTTAGTAAAATAGTTGCCATAGTTGTAACTTACTAGTTTTTCTTCCGATAATTTATTTTCCATTGTGAAAATTGAACAGATTATACTCGGTCAATGCAGAATTGTATATTTTGTACAAAATATTTCAAATATTACATCATTTACATGTCCAGAAATAATTTAGTAAAATAAAGTTATCAATAGGTACTAGTAAAATAATTGTGTTGTGTATAAAAGACGTCTACATAACGCGATAATCGCGTTACCTCACGTGCAGTACTAACCGGCGAATATTTAAACGCATCAGTGTCGAATGTTAGTTCGTTTAATGACAACTAAGAGCACTTTAGTCCAAATATAATACACAGGAGAAACAATTGGCTCATTAAAATTTTTTTAAGTTGATTGTATTTCTAAGTTGATGAGTGTGTAACAAATGTAGTTTATTATTCAATTATAGATTCGTATTAGTATAATATAATATGTGCAATTCATTAACCGTAAGCAAGCAGTCCATGACAAAAACAAAGTATTTCATAAACAAAATTATCATTACCACGTTTAATAAAACTGATACTTGTATAAATAGTTTTTCATCAAAATTTTTATACTTTAACTATAATTACAAGTAAAAAAATAAATGTTATCTTATAAATGAAATTCCTTTCCATGACTAACTAATTCATTATTATAATTAAATTAAATTTTACTTTGGTTAAAGTTTAATATTTATAATAAATTTTGTTATTGAACGACTTTGATAGAATGTTGAAAATGATTATGACCTTACAAAAGTAAAACGGACATCAATTTTAAATCTATATTGTATATAAATAATTTTTACTAATAGGGTATTAAATATTTCTCATCATATTTCTGAATTTTATTTATTGATTTAAAGTGTAATTGATGATACTCAAACTTTAATCTGAATGATTAAACTCTAAAAAAATACTCATATAATATCAACAAATGCATTATCAAAATACGTTCAGTATTCTTTTAGTTAAATTAATTATATTTAAACACTATTGTTGAATAGAAATTGGAGAATAAAAAATTAATAAATAATATTTGTGTATGTATAATTATAGATTGACGAGCTAAAAAAAATTTCTTAGATAAAAGAATACTATTTGATAATTTTATTTGTAGGACTATAATGAGTAATTTACATTGAAATGTTTATAATTCGTAAATTAATATATTAATTAAATATAATAATAAATAATTTAACGTGATAGTTATAAAGTAATAGTTATTTATATGAATTTGTTGTAAACGTTATAAAATGTTGATGTAATAATTTATTACTGTTTTTGTAGTGTATTACACAAAGGACGTTAAAACACACGTTTTTACACTTTGAACATAAGCCAATCATTACTCTTTAAATAATAATTTTGTTGAGAATTTTTTTTGTTAGCTACATATGTAACTTAATAAATACTTGTCCTAAAATTACCATTGATCCAATAAATTACTTAAGAAATAGAGCTGAAAAATGGCTATTTCAATTTCTATTTATTTATTAAATTTTTCTTATAATGATAAATAATAAATGTATGGTTTAAACATAGTCAAATACAGTAAAAATTATTTAAAAAGTAATTCAAAATGTTTGTTGGATCAAAAATGATTAAAGATGTCAGAACCTGACATCTTTAGGTTCACCCCTTAAATCTTACAGGGGTGTCAACTTTATTTTTTATATGGTGACATACATATTAAAATAATTTATAAAACAGAAAATAAATTAATTAAGAAAAGAACCGATCGATAATTTTCGGACCAGTATTTCAAAATATTATATATTATAGTTAATAATATATTATATTATTATTATAAGAATAAAAATATTAGTAACCACGCCATACCTCCAGTGGCATACCATTACCATAAATCGTTAATAATTAATTTTCTTAACTATATAATTTTCTATTATTTATGTTAGTTAGATATACAGTGGATTTCGCTTAATATGGGAAAATTGGGACCAGCATTGTTTGCCTACATTAAGCAATTGCCCATAAAAACCGAAATTAGTTAAAAAAATTTTAATGATATCAAAAAAAAATTATTTTACACACGTTAATCATACAATTGAAAAAAATGTTAAATTACCACGTATATTAATTAAATTAAATATAAAGTACATTATTTTTAAAAACTTAATACATACATACATCATAGTAAATAAAATTACTTTTTGGGTGTGGAACGTATACAAACCTTTATTCTATACTTCACCTTGAGGTTTTTTATAATACCCATATCTAAGGGTTGGATTAAGGATGTCGTATTTGGTGGTAAGAATTCTAAAGTGATATTTTTGAGTTCAACGTTTTTTGGATGTGCAGCACAGTTATCAATGAGAAGAAGTATGGACTATTCCATTAAGGTTATTACTTTCGATAAACATAATCTCATAGATATGATGAAACCGGATTAAATTAATCGTTTTAACATACATATATGTATATTCTAACCCTATGTTAAATTAAAAATTGCCCACATAAACCGAACCAAGTGCCCATATTATGCAATTTTTTTTACCCATGTTAGTATACATTGGGATTGGACCAGACCGTTATACCTATATTAACCGGTGCCCACATTAGGCGGAATCCACTGTATATGTTTCTATTTAATTAAATACAGTTTTTACTGGATGCCGACCTGATTTTACTTCATTATAGCAAGAACAAAAACATTATTTAATTATTAAATTTTAATGTATATACAGATTTCTTTTTAGGAAGGTCAAAATTGGACTTGCTTACTAATTTGAGCAAAGCATATTTATAAAAAAAAAAATTACTAGCAAGAAAAAAAAAGTTTTTCAAAATTTATATTAGGTTATGATTTGGAAATTTTATTTTATGTGATTAATACAAAATATTGATTATTTTAGTCTTTGATTGTTAGTCTTTTAAGAGACCTACAATTAGTAGTAATTTATAATTATAAGTTATCTCTCAAACTAAATTCAAAACAAAACTTCAATTAAAAATTTGTATTCTATCAAACAGTTATGTTTGCTATTAATTTAGTGTATTATTTTTAGTTTACTATTAAATAGACTTATTTTAAAAGAAGTCATTAAGAAGTAATTATATAAACATTATTATAATATAATTTATTTGTTTTTTCGTGTACGATTATTTATTTGTTTTCTTAGATGTCACAGTACTTTTAACTATATACTCAGAATTGTTATTTTTACCAAAAATCTTTTTTTGTTCTGATTTTTTAACAAAATTCTGTTGTATTTTGTGCGAGTCCAATGAGTAGAATGATTTTTCATCATCTGCATCATAACTAATACTATGATTTAGAACACGTTTTTCATTTATATGTTCAGACATTATAATTTGTGCCTTAAATTTTTTGTGTATTATTTAGTTATTTGTCGTAACAGTTATTTAAAATTGTTATTTGCGATTTTGTTATTTTTAAAAATCGAATACATAAAATCGTCATGACAAATTACTAGTTAAAATATAATTCATACACTAAAAAATTATTATTTATGTAATACAGATTGGCACAATTTCAATTTCAAATTTAGATTTTATTTTTATTTTTAAATCAACGTTAAATTTATAACACTACAATTTTATTTCTTTATATATGAATTTACTTATATTTTTTATATATTTGTTATATTATAATATAATATTAAACGTTGAAAAAATGCATAATTTAAAAATAAATTATCAATTTGTCTCTAATATTATTTTAAAATTAAAAAGATAAATTAGTACAGACGAAATACATACTATTTCATTATAAATATTGTTCTTTTTCATTAAACTTTTTAAGAAAATATTTGTTTTATCCATAGTCTATTTAGTTATTATATATTAGTAATTTATTTAAAATACTATTATTATTATTATTTTTGTAAGTTGTGTGTTTGAGTACAAATAACTGTTATAAAATATTAAAAATATAACAATATAATTTTTACAACTAAATAGTATAATATTATTAATTGTTTTTAAAGAATGAATGAAGTTTAATGCATTTCAAACATTTTATTTTTTATTTTATGTTTAATTTTTACAAACCAATAGAGTTCTGGAAGTTTTTTAATTACGTAAAACATTAAATATTATAATAAATACATATGATATTGGAACCTACCTTAACAGTTAACTTAATAGTTATTTTGGTAAATTTATTAATATTTAAGCTAAGAGATTTGTTAATAAAGTTTTTAATTAAATTATTTAGAAATAAATGTATATTGCCGTAGAATATTATGCCAAATAATAATAATATATTTGTAATGAGATCTTAACCAATAGACGGTTGTCCCTTGACTATTTTTTTAGGTATATTTCTGTTATTTTTATCTTTAATACCATACATTTTTATTTTTTAACCTGTTAATATTGTTACAATATCATTATTAATCTATAAAATTATAAAATACCTAAGCTTAATATGCATAGTTTTTATTTACTTAAATTATTTAGTTTTATCTGTTTATATACAAGTTACCAAATTTACTGAGTTATTTAAACATAAAAAAATTATGAAATACGTTGTATAATGTTTAAACATTGTAAATTCATAATTGACAATAATGAGTGTTGTTGTTTGTCTTTAATTTTTTATTTACATTTTTATAAAATGTTCAATTAGGTAATACTATCATTTGTGTATACCATTTAATATACACATTTTATTACTTTTAGCTTCAAAGCGAAGCTGAGAAGGTATTGGTTTTACTATGATGTGTTTTTATTTTTTTTTGTGCTGTTACCCACTTTTTTTCAGCTCTCACCGTAAATGGGGGAAACCTCCAAAAAAATTACAAATTTAAAAATCGCTAATTTTCGAAATTTTTTCAATTTTTTTTTACTAAAAACTGCCGTAACTTTTTCAAAAATGATGATATCAATATAATTTTTTTTTATAGATGCATGATGTATTTAACTATCATTTGGTATAATTTTTATAGATCTGACCCATTTACTTGCCTACGGGGGGGATTCAAAATGAAAACTTTTTCACAAAAAATTAACTTTTTCAACTTGACTTTTGAAAATGTTCCGGAAAGTCTGATACTTTTATATATATCTTAAATTAAAGCTAATGTAATATACTTTATCACGGAAAAAAAAATTTCTGACTTTATTTTATCTTCACGGTGAAAATGGCTACCAAATGCTATTTTTGTGTGAAAATTCTCGATTTTGTATTTTACAATTTTAACTTTATAATGCTATAACTTTATGAGAAATGTATGGATGAACACAATTTTTTTTCTGAGAAATAATATTTTTTAATAATCCCTTTTTCATTCAACATACTTTATCTTAATCAGGATATTAATAAGGAACTAGCTGATTATGTAGCTTTTGGAATAATCTACCAATTTTTTAAAATTAAACACTATCTAAAGATTTGCATCGAAGTGTTATTTTTTTGATAGTGATTTTAATCACTGGCAGGTATCATTATACTTGG